GTATGCTATATTCCAGTGCTCTTCCAACTTTAATGTGCATATAAATCCGCTGGGAATCTTGTTAAAGTGCACATTTGGATGCCACTGGCACGGAGCTGGGAGCCCTGGCGGCCCAAAGGTTGAACTCCGGGCTGCTAACTGAGAAGTGGCTGGTTCAGACCCACCAGCTGCACGGGGGGAGGAAACTCATTAACGTGACAGCCTTGGAAACCCAGTGGGGAAGTTCTGTTCAGGCCTAGAGAGTAGCTGTGTGTCCTCAGCACCAAGTCAGAGGCAGCAGGTTAGGTCTGGAGAGTGGGGACCGAGATCCTGCCTTGTTAACACGCTCCAGGGCGGTGCCTGTGCTGCTGCTCTGGAAGACCACACTTCAAATCAGAAGCACAGAGAGGAGTGATGCTCAGCCTTTTGTCATGTCTGGAACTCTCTTTCGCGAGCTGCCAGCATTTGTTTTCATGGATGATGACCACTGGTATGTATAATATTAGAAATTAGAGCAAAATCTTAAAAACTCGAGTGTACACAGCCCAGAAAGTGATGACATCATTGGCAAATAGCTTACTAAGCACTTCCTGTGGATTTCGTGCTATCTCTTGTGGTTTCATGTACCCTTACCTCTAACCCTCTTAATAACTCTACAACCTAGGTATTGCTGTGTCTGCTTTACAGCAGGGAACCCAGACTCACAGAAGTGACTTGCCAGAGACCCCCTCTGGAATGACACTGAGGTCTGTGCGAACTTACTGTGACAAGGGGAAGATTGCTGAGGAGGCTCCAACATGGCTTAGGTGTGGATGGGCAGAGGAGAGACTGGCCCGTGGCAGAGATCAATCAAAACAAAGACCTGGATGTATATGCGATTGTGGGGTGAACCAAACAGGATTGGGCCTAGGTTGCCATTGAGTTTTAGGTCGTGATAAGTGAATGTGTGAATGAATGAGTGACCACAGGGTTCCTGTCCTTCATCCCGTTTGTCTCATTGGCCTGAGAGTCATGCAGGGGGGCTTGTCACGCAGCGTCGAGTTAGACTACCAGCTGGTGGGATCTTTGAACAGTTCAAGGATCAGTTGATGAGTTCACGGATCAGAGTGGAATAGAGAAGCTTCACATGGCCTTTGACCGAAGAAACAACAGGAATTGGATCTAGAGAATAAAGGAGAACCAATGATGATTGACTCCCTGACTGCTTGATTGATTGATTCACTTATTCAGCACATGTTTATTAAGTGCTGCTTTGTGGTCTGGCCCTGTGCCAGGGGCTGAATACATTGGTGGCCCAAACAGACATAATCTCTCATGGAGGATCCCCGGATGGTGTGGATTTACATGCTTGGCTGCTTCCCGCAAGGCTGAAGGTGTTTCAGAAGAAAGGCTTAGTAAGGTGCTTACAGAAATTCAGCCAACCAAACTGTGATGAAATTCTGACACACACACTGTGAATAGGGTCAACTGGACACAGTCGTGATTGGTTTCTGGGTTTCTGCCCTATGTCGGGGAGACATAAAATCAACAGGTAAACTACTCTAGCCATGCGCCTCGTAATGTCCATTTGGGCAATGCTTGACCATGGTCCCACCAGGTTGTAAAAGATTCAGGAATCTTGATTGGAGAACCGGCCATAACGATGGCTATAACAGCATGTAGCAAACACGTACACGTATAACCTATAATACATATGCCTCGGCAAATCACCATAAATGCCCATGTTACTGGCTTATGCATGTCCCCTTCTGCACTTTCATCATTTTGATGTGAACTTTGCCCACTTAAATCAAAAGTTTCCCGCCTAACAGGCTGAGCTTTACTTGTAGGCAGCAGCATCCAGGCTCAAATAGCGTGCATCCCTGGAGTGTTGTCGTGTTCTCTCTATTTAATTTCCCTCGGAAAACAACACTGTGCAGTGAGGGCTCCCAGCGCAGCCGGACCCATGCCAGTGGTGGCAGCAGCAGCCGGCGAAGGTGAGGCATCGAGTTAGAAATGCAACGAAAGGTTATCCAGCAGCGCAGAGACGGGAAGATGCGTGACTGCTTGGGCAACGTCCAGCCGCAGAGCGTCTTGTAGACGTTAGGCGGTGCGTGGCCGTCCCATGTGCACCGTGTCAGGCCATTTCAGGACTCTGAACACACACAGAGCAGGCTGGGGGAGGCGGCACGTTTTCAGCAGTTGAGCGCAGGGAGCCTCTCTTGGGAAGGTGACAGTTGAATAAGATGAATAGGATTCTGAGTTTCTAAGCCTGAGATACCCCCGGAGACTCAAATAATCCCGTGGCCAGTCCCCTCAAATGTTCTATAGCCATGGCCTCTGCGTGGCAGCTGAGGAAACTGAGGCCCAGGGAGCCTGGAAGGCCAAGACTTGCCCTGCTGTGGCCAGCTTTGCAGCACCCCACAAAGCCCTGACTCTCCGCCCGAGAAGCCCACGTGTTCCCAGCTCTGCGCGTCTCCTCGTCCCTGGTGTTTTTAGTCTCGCAGACAGAGCCCCTTCTCTGTCCTCCTGCCTGACTTGCTTTCACCTGCTCTGAGGCGGCAGTGACGGGGCTGCGGCTGCACCGACAAGACAAGACGTCCCTGGCTGCTCTGTCGCGGGGGCAGGGGGCGGGCGGCAGAGGGTGACCACCTAGGCACTACCACGTGGGCAGGCCTGTGGGCACCTCAGGGTGACGGCTGGGGCCTCCCAGCCCCCTGGTCAGGTCACACCTGAGTAATGAGGGTGAGGGGAGGAGGGCACTGCCTGTCAGGGCTGTGCAGGGGTGGGTGGTGAGAAGCAGGGAAAGG